AACAGCGTAAGCTATTGAGCTGTGCATCTGTGGGCCAAGGTCCCACCCCTGGAAGAGATAGATGCTGAGTGTGAGTATGTTATAGTATCAGGTATATGTGCTATGATTTGACTGAGCTTTATTTTTATTTTTGGTTTTGTTTTGAGACAAGATCTCATTATGTAGACCATGCTGGCCCTGCTTTTGCCTTGCTTTCATTCACTATGTAGCTCAAGTCGACTTTAAAGTTTTAATCCTCCTGCCTCAGCTTCCTAAATGCTGCAATTATACCACCACACCTGAGGTAGTGGAACTTTTAAGAGGAGAGGCCTAGTAGGAAGGCATCAGGTTACGAAGACTCCACCTTTCAGGAATATATTAGCCCTGGTCTTGCAGAGTGGATTGAGCCTCACAGAAGCCCAAGAGTGGTTGTTCTAAAAAATCAAGGATGTTCCCTCCTGCTCCTTTGCATCCTTGTTTACACATAGGCCCTTTCTGCACGGGACCATCTCCTTTCCCACTTCTCTGTCATGTTGAACACTGTCAGGGAGGATTTTGCCTCAGGTATTTTGCTATAGCTACACAAAAAGCACTAAGACTGCGATGCCAGGCATAAGAGCTTTAAGGTTAAACCAATTCCTACAATATTTGGGTCTTCTGAAATAAATTCCTCATCGATCATGATGGCTCTCAAGCTTGCTTCATTTCATAAAAAGATTCTTGGGCTAAAAGATTTTTTACAGTTCTTGAGAACTGTTGCTACTATTGTTGTCTGGCTGACCTAACAGTTCTTTCTCCCCCTCTAGCTGGCTGAATTTTCTTGCTTTTTTGGTAAAAGAAACACATGAGGCTGCACCAACACCCTCCCTTTCCTCTCGCTCTGGTTGCTGGTACTACGCCTGAAGCTCTAGCAGCCATTGTGTCATTGCTTGGGACCTTGGTAGAGGTAAGCTGCTGAGTGATGTCTAGCTCAGCATTTGTCTTATGCAAGAAAAAATTACTACTTTTAAAGAAAACTGGATTTCCTATCACTTGACTTATACCTTGTCCTAACAGATATGATAAAATATGGTTATACCAAGGATGATATTGCAACTGGGCAATGTCCCATTTTTCAAGGCAGTGAAACATTTCAAGATTGAAAGTGCATGTGCTGGGGCTGGGGATTTAGCTCAGTGGCACAGCGCCTGCCTGGCAAGCACAATGTCGTGGGTTCAATTCCCGGTGCTAAAAGAATAAAAAAAAAAAAAAAGGAAGTGCATGTGTTAATTTGCTTCCCCATCTCCAGCTACCATTTTTGATCCAAGTCTAGTTATAAGTACCAACTCATACGAATTGGGCAACCGGTATAGTTTTATAAGCAGTCTTATGAATTCCTGTGGCAACATAACGTCGGAAGTATAATCTTTGAACTGCATGCCATTATGTCACAGTTGTTAATTTTGATCCAAATCAAATTATTTATCACTTCCTCCCAGTCATCTTGATATGTCAATATTAAAACTTCTACTTTGGAAAATCTCTTAAGATTTGAAGGTTACAATTTAATTAGTAGCAAAATGTTAATTAGATTCCCTTCTGGCATCATCTCTGCTTCTCTTATTCTCTCCTCCTTTCACTTTTTTCTTTAGTCTTCCTACTCTCCATTTACCCCTTGCTCATAGTTGGTCCTTTCATCAACGCAATGCAATATTGTTTTGCATCAGTGCCCTGGAGATTTTTCTTAGTATTTACCTATCTTTGTGACATTATTTTCATGTTTGTTTTTCTAAAGATTATTCCCTTCAGTACTGGGGATTGAACCCCCTTTCACTTTCACATTGAGTTACATTCCCAGCACTGCTCAGTTTTTTGTTGTTTTTCCATTTTGAGAAAAGATTTTGCTAAAAAGCTAAACTGTCTAGGCTAGTCTCAAACTTGCAATCCTCAGGCTCCCAAGTAGCGGGAATTACAGGAATGTACCATTGTACCCATCTCGCAGTCTGTTTTTGTTCTTTTCTCTAGCGTGTTATATAACATGTTATGTAACAGCTCCAGTAATGGAAAACTTTTCCAAATTTTCAACCTCAACTACTCCCCCTTTTTTTCCTGTGGGAATGTACTGTGTAAAGTATAAGCCATTTTCTGCAGTATGTGCCATTATCTCACAGCTGTTAATGTTTTGATCCAAGTCAAATTAGCCACCAATATTTTTTATTCATATATGTAAAATCATTGCATATTGTGGTATCACATTTATCAGCTAAATGACATAACTCCATCAATGTCTCAAAAATAATGCACAGTTAAATAACACAAATGGGTATGTAATGAATATTTTATTTTATTTTTATTATTACATATTTGCAGTACACAATGATTACATTAATTTTGAAGAATTGGTACTTGTGTGTAAGTCTAAAAAATATTATTTTTATCCCTTTCCATCCCTTTCCCATTTTTCCATGTTGAGGATGGTCATTTATAGGAGAATGAATGCATCCTGAGACTATAATGTACGTGAAATAGATCAGACCCACAAGTGTGGTTTACCAGATATGAGAAACTCAAAGTCTAAATAAATTAAAGAGGAAGATAAAAGATAGATAATAGGAAACAAGAAGGTAGAAATTTTGCAAAAGGGAACTTTTGTAATAAATATTTTAAACAGAAAAATCAGAAAAGAAAAAACAACACTTACTGAGCAAAATACATTGAAAAAAAGTCTATATCATTTCTTTACACAAAAGGGCCCCTAGATAGCATGTAAATGAGAGAAACAAACCAGAACATTCTTTTTCAATTCAGAAAGTTTGAAAGAATGTATAAACTAGTATTTCAAGGGCAAGGATATAGCTCAGGGGCCGAATACTTGCTTAGCATGTGCAGGCTCTGGGTTCATCCTCAGCGTGGGAACCACCCCTTCTAAAAAAAAAAAAAAAACACCAAAAAAACCAAACTAATGTCTCTTTTCCCATGTTAATCTGAAAATCTAAAATGCATTATTTAACTAGATTCCAAAGTTCAGGGGAAAGATAGTTGAAGGATTCCTAATTTTCAAAGCAGTGTTTGAAGAAATAAACCTTTGTCCTCCATCTGTAAATTATTAAGATAATTAAATAAGTTCTGAGGTTTTCTTGTATGTGCAATGATTTTTTTCTTATGTGGGGACACAGAGGCTGGGAATGTAGCTTGGTGGTAGAGTATACGCTTAGAATACATGCTGCCATGTGTTCAATCCCAAGCACCAGAATAAAAAAACAAAACAGAGACAGAGAGAGAGAGACAGACAGACAGAGAGACAGACAGAGAGAAAGAGAGAATATGCAGGAGCAAAGTAAATTTTTCTCACCTTCTGTGAAGGTTTGAGTATTTAAACATGCTGAAATAAATTAAGCAACAGGTAGATTAACGGGAGAAAAAGCATATACACTTATTAATATGCACATGTGTACAAGAGTCACACAAAATATGAAACTCAAAGCACAGCCAGACGGTTGAAGCTCCCATAGAGTCCGTAGAGCAGAGAGGGAAAGAAGGAGGCTGTAGGCACTTTTAGAGGGGCCCTGAAAACCAGAGAGTGACCTTGTACAAAGTTCCTCAGGCTGTAGGCGTGGATGTTTAATTGCTTCCTCTGTGCTGAGGGTAAGTGTGTTGTCACAGTGTGAGGTTTATGCTATGATTTGTGTATGATTTGTCTCCAAGGTGTTGGAGGGTTTTTTGTTTTTTGTTAATGAAATTTCAGTAACAAATATGAAAGTAATTACATTCTTCTTCAGTGGATCTGCTCTTTAGGTACTGTCTTAGACCAGGGGCCTTCAGCAGTGCAAATTCAGTCAATTTTATTGTATATAAATTTGGCCTCAATAAAACTGAACTTTAAAATGTGTGATGATAGCTATGATTAACATGAAAAGTACCATGCTAATTAATTTTTATTGATGGCAATTGTGATTTGGAAAGGAGGACTATGTCTCTTTTAAAAAGGTAGATGCAATCAAACTGAATTTTCTTAGCAATCTGTAGATATTATGATGGTGTGCTTTTTTATTTTGAAAATATTCTAGTATTATTCACTTTTACCAGAAAAATATATCTTAAGTAAAATTCTCTGTTTAGGTTCTTTTCATTATTTGAACATGGATTAGCAACATAATTTTTAAGAATTTATGTTTTTTTGAGTCTGGATCTCAAATTATATCTTTTCTGTTATAAGACCATCAACACAGGTCTTCTAAATTGGACAGGTGAATAAATAGCTACAAAAAATTACATTTATATTGCTTTTTTACGTATTTATCTTGTAGTATTTACTTGTACTCTATTTCTTCATGTGGATTTGAATTATCATCTAGTGTCTTTCTGTTTTAGGCTGTGAGGTTTTTTAGGATAAAGCTGTTGGGTGTGAATTCTTTCAGCTTTTGCTTGTCTTGAAACCTTTTTTTCTCCCCAGCTCTGAAAAGTTGCTTTACTGAATAGACAATCCTTTCAGGTATCTTTTGGGCATTTGCACAGCACTGCACATGTGTGTAGGTTTCTGTATCTTCACGACTACAGGAATTTTTGAGGGCCTTATGGGTATTTCCTCTACATAGTCCACGCTAGGATTTTATTTTTTCTAAATTGGTATTATTGCTTTGCACAACTGCAAAATGAGGTAATTTCTCTTGGTTATTTCAGACAAATGACCTACACATTGGAATTCTTCCCAGAGAGAAATCTCTGAATCTTCAAATGGCAAGGTATACCCTGCAAATAGGACTTTTTCAAGGAGCAGAGACACATCTTACACCACTTGTCTTAGAGCTAAAAACGGTGCTCTGGAAACAGGGACTTTTTGGAGAAGCTTTGCACTGTAATCCCTGTCTTCTTTGAAATTCCCTTTTCTCTCTTGAATGTATTACTTTGATAATAATTAAAAGACAAGTCAAACTGAACCCTTGCAAGTAAACTTTCATTTAACTTATATGTCACATATGCTTTGTTACTTATTAAAAAACAGATGATATTTAATGAAGGTGGAACAAAAAGGACAGCGCTGCTTTACTTCTGAAGATCCATGGATATCCTTTCCAGAAAAATAGGCCAGAAAACTCTAGAAATTGTAATTGACATAGAATCTTAAAATTTATCAATTACAATGGGTAAAGAGGAGAAAATACATCTCAAGAGAGAACTTGGATATTTCTGGGGCACAAATTTTTTAATTATTAATGTAATTGGTGCTGGTATTTTTGTGTCCCCCAAAGGGGTGCTAGAGCACTCTTGCATGAACGTCGGGATCTCCCTGTGTATCTGGGGTGCCTGTGCTGTATTAGCCATAACATACACTCTCTGCTTTGCAGAGATCGGTATAACCTTCCCATGCAGCGGAGCTCACTACTATTTCATCAAGAGATGCTTCGGCCCCGTAGCTGCTTTCCTGAGACTCTGGACGAACTTGTTTACCGGGGCAGGGATAGTTGCTAGTCAAGCCCTACTCCTTGCTGAGTACAGCATCCAGCCTTTTTACCCCAGTTGCTCAATCCCTAAGCTTCCCATGAAATGCGTGGCGCTGGCCATGCTGTGGGTAGTGGGAATTCTGAACTGTCGTGGTGTGAAAGAGGTGACTTGGCTTCAGACAGTGAGCACGGTGCTGAAAGTGAGCATCCTTAGCCTCATTTCCCTGAGTGGAGTGGTCATGCTGGTGAGAGGGAAGCAAGTGAATGTAGAAAGGTTGCAGAATGCTTTTGATGCTGAATTTCCAGCTGCTTCCCAGATAATTGAAGCCGTCTTCCAAGGATATTTTGCATTTTCAGGAGGGGGATGCTTTACATGTGTGGCAGGTAATTATGAGAAAATGAGAGAAAAAACTCTAAAAACTCAAGCCTTGAATTACTGCATGTACTTTGGAATGTATATCTTCTGACTATATTTCAAGTTTTATCTAAGACAATTGAATGCTTTTCAGCTTTGTGGCTTTCTCAGTCAGTACGCGCTGACTTGCACTCGCTGCTTACTCAGGATTCCTTTTTCCTTTTTTCCAAAATTTTTACTTTATTGAAGAACTTCTCTTTTTCAGCTTTCTTTTCAGGACCATAAATATGGGGCTTCTGAGTTAATCTAATTTCCTTTCTGTTAACTCATGAATACTCGGGCTGTGGAAATATTCGCCTTCTATAAAATCTAAGAATGATCTAATGCAAAGCTGTTTATGTTGGGAGTAGATGTGACACACTTAAGTATTTTTATTTATTGATTTTTTCAAAATTTTATTAGCATATGTTTGCAGTACATAATAATTACGTTCATTGTGGGGAGTTGGTACATGCACATAACACATTTTAATTCCTTTTGGAATTATATCTTATTAAAACTTTTTTCTGCAAGTGAATGCAGTATTACAGGTTTATGTAATAATACATCAAATGTTTCAAATTAATGATAATTCATTCTGCATAAACTATAGGAGCAGTCATTCTATTGCAATTTTGGATGTACCTAGTGGTAAATTAGCTAAAATGCAAAGAAATAGTTGGGACCAGGCCCTGAAAGCGTGATATCAGGAGGTAGGGTACATGAAGCAGAAACTTCTCCAGTGGCTTCATGTCTCCTTGTTCCCTGCAACAGAGCTAGGCAGCTGGCTGCCAAAGAGAGTGTCCAGAAGAAATATTCCTGCTTGGCTCACTCAGAACCGCAGAGCAGAGAATAGTGCTGGATTTTGCCTTGCATTTGTATGAGGCTCCTTAGCACTTTTAAAGAGAAGAGAATTAGAGATTCCTAATAGCTCTGAAGTGAGATTTAATCCCCTTCCCTTCAATCTCTGGAGAAAAAGTTTTCTCCTTATTTTCAAAGTCAGTCCCTTCACTTGAGCTCTGTATCTTTTCATTCCTGCCTTCTTAGGCTATTTTCACATTCACTTATGTTATTTTATAAAAATGCCTATCTTTTTACCAACTCTTTTTTTTTTTTTTTGTATTTTTCTGCTACCGGGAATTGAACTCAGGACCTTCCACATGCCAGGTAGGTGCTGTGCCGCTGAGCTAAATCCCCAGCCCTTTTACCAGCTCTTTACATTGGCATAAACTATGAAGCAGACTCTTTGATGCTCATGTAAAATTATCCTTTGTCATATGATTTCTCAGTGATGTGTTTATTATGAATTAAATCATTTAATCAACAACTCTCCTTAAAACCCTATACTAATGTCTCAGATGAGTAAGGTGTACTCTTTATTCTAAAGAGGATTACAGTCTAGTCAAAGAGGAAATACTTAGCTGCTGGTCTGAGCGCTGCCATTTAGCAACCCTGGCCAATACCTCCTCCTTTGTGACTTACTTCTTTTTATTTTTGATCTATAAAATGCACATCAGGATTTGCTTTAAAATCACTCTGATTCTGTGACTTGAAAACAAATCATGGCATGTCATATTTAATATGTAGTCATAAGGAAACAGAACAATTACTGTGGAAAGTCAATAGAAGAAAAAGTCACCTTTCACGTCACTGAGAGGAAAAATAGCAATTTGAATCAAATCAAAGAAATTCTAGCAGAGAAACATGTCAGGGAAGATATGGAGAGCAGAAGCATGCAAGGGCATATAAGACACAGCACACAATACTGGGTGACCAGAAGATTATTTCCATGTGAGGATGATGATCCTGATATATACAATTGATAAGGCAAGTACACAGAGGAAGAGCAAAATGGCACATGGTAACTGGACAATGTTAAGTTGTAGGCAGCAGGTGGAGAAAGAAGATCTACTGAGAGAGCCATTGTAGGCTTAGACAATTATATAGGGAAATCCTCATAAATCCCACCCCCCAAAAGGAGTTATCCACACTGCTAAATGCCTCAGGAGTTGAGGAGTATAAGGATTGATCTGAGGCTATTTCATTGGTTAAGTAACAGTGAAGAGTTCACTAGTGAACTTCACACATAGGGAAAATGTCACTTTGCATTGAGTTAAAAAGTGAGAGATTGAGGAAAAAAGTGAGATGTTTGTGCAATCTGTGACTAAATGGAGCACTGCAAATTCAGAAACAAATATGATCAAAACTCTCTCTCTCGTTCTCTCTCTCTCTCTGACACAAACACATACACACACACCCCATAAAAATACTTTCTCTTTTTAAAAGATATCTCTGACTTCTCTTTGAGCCAACTCTATCTTGTTTTTATAGCAGAAATGTTTCACTGTTAGACAATGATTCTCTGCTGAAAACAGATTTATACAAGTTTTTAATCTATAAACAAATATAGAATTCCTCCAAAGAAGCTGCTGACAGTAAACATGCTGGGGGCATTTCAGCATGTGTGCAGTTGTTAATTTACTAAACAAACTTTAAGGTACACTAAGTTCTAAATAATGCTTTTACCTGTAAAATAATAATATATAGGCAGCTGACTTTGAATGGTGTCAGAGTACTTATCTCTTAGATAAAGTTTCAAGAATATTCACTACTTGTCTGATTATCATAACCCTTTATTACAAATATAAACCTCCTATCTATAAATCAAATGCATAGAGAACATACAGTTGATTTTTTAAAAAGTATAGTTTATTCAAAATTTGCCCTTCTGCTTGTTCCAAAGTTTTAACTTATAACCATAGTCATTAACAGCGACCATTCTTAAAGCACTTATTAAGTGCTAGCCATGGAATTGGAATTTTATTGTCTGTATAGTTTCCATTTGTCCCAATATACAATCAAGAAAGTTGGAACCTGGTTAGACAATACATTGTTCAAAGCCAACAATGCAGGCAGGGTTAAAATTGGAGCTCTCTAATTCTGACTCTTAATCAACTCATATTAATATACTCCATGGATGTTATATTCAAACAGTGCAAATGGAAGAACTTCGATATATGTGAAAGGATACATAGTTATTAATCAGGGGGATTTGGCTTTACATAAAAGAAACCAACACACATTAGTTTAAACAGTAAAAGGGGAATTTACTGGAAAAATAATGTTCTATTTCAAAATAGCCTGAGCAACCAAGCTTTAGCAGCAACCAGAAACAGGCCAGCTCTAGGACTTCAAAAACTAAATCTCTCATTCTCCTTTCATTTTTTAAAACCACCATTACACTGATTTTCTCTTGATTCTCTTAGTCTTATTGACTTTTGCTTCAGATTCTTGAGAGAAATTTTCTTATATATTGATGATGATTGGTGTACAGTGGGTCAGAGATCTGTACTTTGTTCAGTTGTACTGCTCAGAAGATAGAGTTAAATTTTGTATACCTGGCTACACCTGTTGAACTCTTTCTGGTGGGGCATAATCCTTAGAGGATGGCAAAAGTGGGAAAAATGGTGTAATAAGTTGAACAATGTTGGAAAAATAAACTGTCCTAACATTATAGGTCATGCTAAATCATCCCCGACCCTTCTCTCTTCCTTTTTCTTCCCTTCCTCTCTTTGTTGTGCTGGGAATGAAACTCAGAGCCTCTCCTAAGGAAACAAGGCCTTTACTACTGGGCTGTACATCCTGATCTTTCTTCCCCATTTTTTTGTGCTTGTTGTTCGAATAAATGAATGGTGAAAAGCTATGGGGGGAACTTATTTATTTATTTTTTTTGGTTTTTTTCTCCGGCACCAGGAACCGAACTCACGACCTCGCGCTTGCCAGGCAGGCGCTTTTGCCGCTGAGCTAAATCCCCAGCCCCTGGGGGGAACTTATGATTGACTTTTTAACTCCTTGTGAACATATGTCTTAAGAATGTCTAACCGGACAATTTTGTTACGCAGCGAGAGATTTTCTTTTCCTACTGTGGCAGAAGTAATAATGATTGTGCAGAGATCTGAAGGAAAAGTAGGGGACAACCTGGCATTTGGGAAAAAAAGACCATTTTACTTAAGAGAAGGAAACTATGGCAAGAAGGCGCGTGGCATTCCTGAGGGGTGACAAAAGCCAGTCTGCCTATACACAATAGAGATGGTAGAAGGGACTTTCAACTTGCCACAGGATAAATTCCCACACATTTAGTTCCTTTTTGTATGGCCGCTTACCACAGTCTTTACTTTTGCTTGTTTCTAAGGAGCAACATGTAGTTTCTCTTACTGAGGTTACAGTTTTTGTTCACTGTTGTATTCCTACTGTCCGAACTCTGTGCTGCAAACTCAATGCAGAATTCCTACTCGAGAGCCAGGTGCGGTGGTGCACGCCTGTAATCGCAGCATTTGGGAGGCTAAAGCAGGAGGAGCGCCCTGAGTTTGAGACCAGCCTGGCTACGTAGTGAGTTGAGGCCAGCCTGAACTACATAGCCAGACCCTGTCTCAAAACCTCAGAAGGAATTCCTACTAGAGGGGGCTGAAAAATGTAGATTCAAATTTAATTTTTTATGTTTGTATCTCCAGCAGTGGTGCCATCTATTAGGAAAATGTAGGAATTTTTCCCTCTTCTTCATGTAGCACCCAACTCAGAGGGAGCTCTGTGTGCAGCAGTTTGTCATCTCCCCATGTGAGAGTGTGTGTGTGTGTGTGTGTGTGTGTGTGTGTGTGTGTGTGTGTGTGTTGGTAGAGTGGATAGGAAGAAGAACCCAGCCTAGCATTTGACACGTGGAACATTTTTTTTCCCCAGTGCTAGCGATGTGCTGGGGATGGAAGCCAGGGCTTCATGTATGCTAAGCAAAGCACTTTACCACTAAGCCAGTCCCCACATGAAAAAATTTTAAGGATAAATTTAAGAAATAAATTTTACCAATTAAAATCTTTCTCTTTTATATGTTGTAGGAGAGCTGAAGAAACCCAGAGAGACAATTCCCAAATGCATATTTACAGCATTCCCTCTGTTGACTGTGCTCTATTTACTGGTTAACATTTCCTACATGACTGTTCTGACGCCCAGAGAAATTCTTTCTTCAGGTTTGTACACACACGACCGAGGCAATAAATAAAGGGCTGGTCATTTCAGCACATCTCGAGTATCATCTTACCAGTGGAGACTATTGCTCGCTGTTCATTACTCTATATATAAAGTTGACTTGTAATTCTCTAATAACAGACTGCTAAAGAGGATGATTTGGCCTAGAAAGAAGATTTATGTTTAAACATGAATGGATTTTCTGATAATATAGAAAATGTTTGCATAATTCTGGTATATTACAAGATTCAGATTCAAAATATTAGTTATTCCTTTCATGATCTCTTTTCACTAGATAGATACAATGTAATCAGTATTTATATCTATTACAACTTTTAAAACATTTAATTCTCTATATTCTTCTACCTGATATGAAGAATGATAAGTTTGAAATGCAAGTAGTTAAAAAAATAAATACTAATGGCCAATTGATGCATTTAATATTAATATATAAAATAATACATTTGGTTGCCTTAAATAGCTCAACGTATTGCGGCAAAAGACTGAATATATTGAAAGTTGGATTGCCAATTACTATTTTAAAGCTTAAATTGTAGAATAAAGAATGAGAAAAAAAGAAGTAAACACACATTTCAAAATATGAACAGACTCAAGGAATAAAAGAACTTTGAGAAGAAATGAAAAACAGAGAAAGTGAATGACTAATAATTTTCCACACCAGCATTAAACCTGGAGTCACCACTTTCTGAGATAAATCCCATCATCCAATGCCTTTAGGACTAATCTTGTTAGCCACTATTATTGTTGTATTTAAGACACTAGGGTAAATATTTGAGGCAGTGGAGTTAAATTTGAGAGGTTTTAAAAATACATATTTTTATTGTTATTAATAATTGTATGTATTTATATACAGTTATATAAATGTATAATATATGACCGGGGATATAGCTCAGGGGCAGAGTGCCTGCCTGGCAAGTGAGAGGTCATGAGTTCTATTCTCAGTACAAAATGATAATAATAATAAATGTATAGTATGTATACAGGTGTATAGTATGAAAATTCAGTACATTGTATATAACATGTGATGATCAAATTAGGGTCATTAGTAATTCCAACTCCTTAAAAATTATCATTTTTAATGGGAACCTTCAACCTGAAGGGTGGTTTTAATATAAACATTCTAAGAAGCTGTCTCAGTTCACCGGTGAGCGCTATGCAGGACGGTGTCACACGGAATGAACACTAGTGTTGACGCCTAGTGGCCTAGGTGTTCTGGGGACCAGGGAACTAGAGAGAGTCAGGATTCTGAGGACTTGTGGGGACAAACCAATCCAAAACTGGGTAAGTGGTGGTTTACAAACTATTCTGATTATGTAAAGAGTAAATTTATAAAGTTAACTGTGGGTGTGACCAGGGCTGCTGGTCTTTGGGGGCAGCCCTTATGGTTCACAGAAGTTAGAACTTGATATGACCTGGCCATACAACTCATTATAAGATAGTAAATATCTCCTTTAGCAGATTGTAGTGATTTCACCAATTTTGTGGGTTGAATAATATGTAGTTTCAGAATGTGTGGAAAACTCTTAGGGTACTTTGACAGTAACTGATTATAATTTGGTTTATACTGCATACTATTTCAGACATATAAACTTTAGGTTTTTGCTCAAATTCTGAATTAATGTCTTTGAATTTAAATATCTGTACTTTTGTCATATTAGGAACTTAAGTTAAAATTCTACAGTTTCAGAATTGTAGGAGAAAATGTGTTTAGAAAATGTATATATAGAGATGACTGTCATATCATTAAGTATGACAGCAAAAACTTAAAAATTACCAAAATAGACAATTAGTTTGAAGTAAATGAATATTACGATTCATGTAATAGAACATTCTGAGCTGTACAAATGACTATGCTGATGATGGATACCTACAGCAAAAGGACAGTGTTCGTAACGTGATAATAATGGAAAAGGCAAAATCTATATTCTCTTATAAAACTGAAAGTAAAGGAATGAACTGAAGATAATTGTGTTAAACAAAAGAAGCCATACTCAGAAGACAGTTATTGCATGTTTTCTCTAATATGTGGAATCTAAAAAAAATGAGATAAAAGTAGCAGGAAGAGTATTTATTAGACAAGAGACAGGGAATGGGAGGAGGCAAGGGAGCAAAACAGAGGATGAATATGATCAAAATATGTGTAAAAAACCACTCTGAGCCCCAATATTTTGTAACTTGAATAGGCACTAATAAAACACATTTAAAAATAAAAAAGTAAATATCAACAATGATGAACAACTAAGAAATTTTAGGTAAATTTTTCTTCATTATTTCCTCTGAACTTTCCAATTTTTCTTTAATGAGATGCACACTTAGTTGAAAAAGTTATAAGCAAAAGAAAGAGTTTCTTAAAATTAGAAAATTTAAGGACTTTCTTTTAATTAAACAGGTATATGTAAATCAATTTGATGGCACATACCTGTAATTCCAGCTACTCAGGAGGCTGAGGAAGTAGGATCACAAGTTTGAGGCCAGCCTTGGGAAATGTAATAAGAACCTGTCTAAAAAAAATGGTGGGGATGCAGTTCAGTCTTAGCGTGCTTGCTTAGCATGCATGCAGCTCTAAGTTCCATCCCCAATACTGGAAAACAAAACAAAACAAAAGAGGTACATTTAAAAGATGTGAAAAATTTCCAAAGGAACATAGGGTATCCATAATACAGTATGAATTGGTTGTTACATTTTAAGAAACATTGAAAAAATTATGCCTAGCTGTGATAAAGACTACATTCTGCTGTTTACATAATGAAAGAAGCAGAGGTATCATGATATAATGCTTTTGTCAGTATAGAGGTCTGGTTTATTTCATCATGTATTGCTCTCTTACAAGAAAAAAAAAACCTTCATTGTAAATAAATTCTACAACCTGGGAAAGAAAGGTGTCCCTCCAGAATGAGAGATGTGGAAATATCCAAGTGAGGATCCCCGGTTTGTTCAGCCTGAGAATTTTAGATCCAGAAACGCTTTAAACACACTGAGTGCTGAGTGCTCAAGTTTGGTGTCCTCGAGGTTTCTATGTGTTACTTAAAAGTAGAGAGTGCTGGTTTAGGACAAGACATTCTAAAACACTAACTAAATGGCATAGGGGCAAAAGCTAAGAAGGTTTTCTTGTTCAGAAGCTGCAAGCAGGAAGTGACCTCAAATATCCAGGAGTGATTAAGAAATTTGAAGAGAGAGGGAATTTTAGAGTTACTACTGATAAATGGATGCAATCCTTTTTGGAGGGTAATGTGATAATATCGCCCTTACTTGATAATGTCTACATGTTGGGATTCACAAGTCTCACTTCTGAGAATTTACTGAGAATTATATAACTATCAAGAATGAACATGAACATTTTTATTAAAGCACATTTTATCTGTGCAAAATCCTAAAACAACCTATAAATCTACCAGTCTAAAATAAGTAGATAAATTATCTTACAGTTATAAAATGTCATACTGAGAATTCACTGAGATAATTAGATGGATGTATTTGTACTAATAGTACCAAGATATACTGGAAAGTAAAAAAGCAAGTCTAAGCATGGAAACACACCAGCATGCCCACACACACACAGAAACCGATCATGCACACTCACAGTTCTCCCAGATGCTTATGCACGACAGTCCTATGGCATTTCTGCAAAATGATCCAGGCAGAGCTTCACAGCAGTTATTTTTTGAGTCTTGTGATTGAAAGATTGGTGAAGAGAGAGGGGATGTTTAGTCTACTTTCTGAGCTTCAGTGCTATTTATTGTACTTTTTATCCAAAGCATATATGATATGATTTTTTAAAGAAAAAAAAATGACACATGAAAAGAAGCAAAAAAAAAATCACTTATGGGATATCAGTAACAATTACATAGGCACATTGTGTGTCATTTTTGCCAGGTATTTCGCAGAGCTGCCTGGAGCCTCCCCTGGTTACAACCAGTCACATTTGTCAAGCATTCACAGGGAAATCTAAAGAGAACTTCCTTCGCATTATAGGAAAAAAATATTTCTAAAATATGTCCAAAAATAGGTGGTGTGCGGAGGTATGAGTTTGCGGGAAGAACAACCAACAATACCTCATTTTAGATGAATGAGAACTGGGGCAGGATATGATATATTTATTAGACAATTGTAGGGTAGTACTAAAGAGAGAAGTGATATGACTTAATTCTGTTTAAGTGGGTTGAACAACGAAGAGCTTGAGAAGAAGAGGCATCAATGACATTTGAATTTTGTCACACTTGAAAATATATTGATGTCCTGGAGGCTCCCCAGTAAACAAGTTACCTACGCACAAAACTAGGCCCAGAGATCACCCACCCCAGGGACAGTAAGTGCTGTTGTTCTCATTCCAGTGAAAAACTGAGAACTTGCTTCTCCACGAGGGTGTGATCAGCCCTAGTTTATATCTAAGGAATATGAATTGAATTCTCATGTGCAGCAGATGCTTCTCTTCAATGGTGATTTTATACTTACTGATATATTAATGTTATAAAGTCTCTTCACTTTTAAGCAAACTTCCCTCAGAATGTTCTGTAATGATTAGTTTATGTAGGAGAATTTCTCAGTCTCAACACTGTTGACATTTTTGTACAATTCCCCTGTCCACTCTGGCCCCCATAGCTGGGTACTGAACCCAGGGCCTTATACGAGCTGGGCAAATGCTCTGTCACTGAGCCAAACGCCCAACCATGGGCCGTACACTTTCTTGTTGTAGGTGGTGGTTCTGTGCATTGTAGGGTGGTCTGCAACATCCTTGACCTGTACCCACTAGAAGCCAATAGATACCTCCTCCCTCCTTAGTCGTGTTAAACAAAAAAGTCTCACGTGACCCCAGAAGAGGAAAATCATCTCTAGTTGAGGATCAGCCAATCTATAGTTTAGACCAGTCCCAAACGTAGGGTTTTAAATGTGTGTGAAATTCTTTTTCTGTTCACCTGCTTGGCTCACTTTCTAAATACTTTAATTTGTGCCGTTGTAAAGATAAGCCTTAACCCTGTATCGGCGGTGTTGCACCGTGCTTTTCTTGACCCTCTCCTTTTAGAAACTGAGCATGCTTTCAAGCGTCCATTCAGCAGAGCTAATTTGTTTCACAAGTGTGTATTAAAAACTCACTATATGTCTGTCAGTGAGAGAAATACTAGTTTAAAAGGAAAGAAATGACAGATCCTTGCCTTGAAAGAATTCCTGATCTTTTGTAGAAGATGTAAAAATGATGATCATCTATCATACCTGTGATAGGGCTAAAAAGAATGTTTGCTTTAGATATTATGTAGGTGTAAAGCAAGGAAATAAGGAAACTGAACAAAATTAAATTTTCTTCAAGGCTTTTTATACTTTGGCCTTAATACTGTAAAATAGTATTATTAAAAGATTTGTCCATTTCTTTTGTATTTATGATTCATAGCAGTAGTAGTTTCTCTTTCTTAACACATTTCCTTTATGTATTTTTGTTTCTCTGCAGATGCTGTGGCTATCACATGGACTGATAGAGTTATCCCCCAATTAACATGGTTTATTCCTTTTGCTATTTCTGCCTCATTATTTAGCAATCTTCTGATTAATGTACTTCAAACCTCAAGAGTGCTATATATTGCTGGCCAGCAAGGCCAGCTGCCTTTATTATTTAATACACTTAATATTCACTCCTCTCCACTGATAGCTGTGCTATTAAATATCACAATGGGATCCATTGCAATTGTCATAACAAACCTAATTGAACTGATAAACTATCTTTATTTTGTGATTTCCATTTGGACTGTATTATCAATGATAGGATTACTGAAACTGAGATACCAGGAACCCAATCTACACAGACCGTATCAGGTAAAAATGAGTTTTCTATATTTTTTTCTGTGTGAAACAAAAGATATTACATGTAACTGTATTTTAAAAGTATATTCAGAACAGAAGTAGATGTTGTTATTACTCAACAAATTGTGGAATATAAGGTGAAATTGTATTCCTGTTCATTTTTAGTGGGCAGGCTTTGCTCAATATAAAACCTCTTAAGGTACAGTAAATGGTTTATAAGAGAAATAGTTCTCTGGGTAGTGGGACAGATCATTATGAATTTTTTGACCAGATATTACTTGGTTTACTTATGAGCAGCTTATACACCCCAGTATCCTCTACAGCCAGAGTCAGATTTAGCAAATGAGAAACAGAAGAGGCAAAGAGAGATGAAAAATGTCTACGGTTTTAAAGCATCAACTTATTTTAGTCATTGACAAATTCCATATCTTCAATGCTACTGCCTTTAAATTTACTTTACATCTATATGAGGAAAAAATTCACAGGAGAGGAGACAGTTGTTTTTTCTGAGACAGGGTCTCACTATGCCGACTTTGTAGTCCAGGCTGGTTTCAAACTCACAACAACCCTCTGGCCTCAGCCTCCTGAGAGCGCTGGAATTACAGGCATGCACCACCACACCCAGCCAGTTTTTAAATCATAGAAAAAGAAATAAGCAAAGATTTGGTAGCACTGGGAAAAGAGGGCCTATATTAGTCTTTGGTAGATAGGAATCATATTTAAAACTGATAGGATTATCTTGGTGATAAGTACTAAGTTTCTTGATACTACAAAAGGGTGATACTCTTGTTAGGTCTATTTTACAAATGAGGAACCAGGCTTAGAGAAACTGAGTCACTTGCCCAAGCTCACACAGCACAGAATGGAATGAAGGTTCAAATCCAGGCAGTCTCTTTGGAATGTTTGGCTCTTGCTAAGTACAAAATACAAGAAAGAATGCAGGAAGAAAGAAAGCAATGTCACAACCACCAACCTTGGTTGGCTTTCCACCATCATTCCTTGTCAGCTTTCTCCTCTTTCATCCAGCCAGCACTTACTTGCTACTTATTTGAGTACTGGTTGTTGAGAAGTGACCATATTTAACCAAACCGGTGTGGTTATTAATCTTAAAGGCAGGTCATAATCTTTTTTTAAAAGACAGGTTATAACCTGTCTGGACAGTCAGGTAAACCAGATGTCACAGCATGCTTGCCACTACATTATAGCATGCAAAGGATGCTCAGAGAACCCAGGGTGGGGGAGGATGGACTTTAGAGTGGGTGGACATGTATGGTCTGTCTTGCAAGTGCCTCCCCAGTGGCTCCTCTCCTAACTTCACACACTACATCATTTGAAAATGTCCCTTATCTGCTCTTTTGTTAGATCATTGACTTTAATTAGATAAAATTAAAGAGAACTGACAATGAATTTCTAATGCACCAATAAATAGTATAGCATGATCATTAACAGCTTGGGCTCAAATCTAATTCCTCAGCCTATTTTCTGAAACTTCTCTTGTTATTTAGTCTCTGATACTCAGTTCCTTCATATCTAACCTCCCAGAATGTTGCTTGTATTATTATTATTATTATTATTATTTTTTTGGTTTTTTTGGTTTTTCTCCGGTACCGGGAACCGAACTCACGACCTTGCACTTGCCAAGCAGGCGCTTTGTCGCTGAGCTAAATCCCCAGCCCCTGTTGCTTGTATTAAATTAGCTAAGTTGTGCAAACAATTGAGCATCTGATATTAATGAGTATCGCAGTTTATATAGTTATTCAACTTACATTTGCATCCAAAAAGAAAGCAAGCACAACCTGCAGAATAAGTGGATAATTTTTTTCTTTCTATCTTTACTCTTTTCTCAATAATTTGAAAACTTACATTGAGCTGTGAGGTGATAGTTATCATTGTTAGAGTGGCCTTACAAGAGGAAATTCTTAACTAAGCCCCACATAAATGATCCTCTAATTACAGGGTTTCATAAATGGTGACTAGCTGTATCATATCTTCAGAGTCTGGCCTGTGTCTCTTAAAGACATTTTAAAAGTGACTGTTACTGAACCTTCTTCTAGGTTGGGTAATATAAGATGTTGGATTCCTATAATTTAGCACAAAACAAGATTAGATCTTTAAGATTTTTTTTGATCTTTAAGATTTTTGATAAGATAAAAATAAAATAAAAAAGGGAGAATTATTTTGGCCAAAATTTTTGTCTCAGTTTGTTTCATTTCTTAATTTACTGAGCCTGCGAAGTCATATTTACCTGAATAACATGTCTGTATTTTTTACTGATTTGAATTTCTTACTGACTTGAAATATTGTCAAAGAAGATTGTTGTGGCATCCATTGGGCCGTAGAAAGGCTCTTTGAATATATTCGTGCCATCTAGATTAGCGGATGGTTATCTTATAAGCAGATGGTCATGATCATTTCCATTGATGAACTGTCGGTCACATGCTGGATGTTCATTCACTCCAGCCTGCACGGTGGCAGTGAGCCTCCTCTTCCTTCAGAACTTGAGTTTTAAGCCAGATTAACCTAATTTAGCTAATTTAGCCTGTTTTTTTAATCATTAGTTTGTATCTTTTGTGTTCATATAAATATTCAGATATGAAATATGGGTTGTCAGGTATAATTATTTTTTTAAATTTTACTTTTAGGTCTTTATGCCGTTCATATTCATAACCATGGCCATGACCCTCAGCATGGTTTTGATACCACTGGTAAAGTCTCCAAAGATGCACTATATCTACGTACTTCTATTTCTTCTCAGTGGACTACTGTTTTACATACCTTTCACATACCTTAAGCTGAAGTTGGTTTGTTTTGAAAAGATGACCTGCTATCTACAACTACTACTTAATATTTGTGTCCCTGATAAGTCTGATGAACAGATATAAGAAGAAACTTTCTAAAAATAGCCTTCTAAATACACACCAAGTTCCAAATAAAGATTAAGCATGTGATGGAATATTAATTATGAAATTCCCATAGTAGCTTTCTTAAATAAAATAATGTATATAAAAGTGCCTAGATCAGTAGCTGGCTTTAAAAATCACAATGAAATTTTTCTGTGTAACTAAAGGTCTATTTTTATTAATAAAAACTTTAAGTCTCTGTTTGACTAGCTGATGTATTGATGTCTCTCCCATGCTTTCTTTTTGCATTTCACACATTTTCTACCAAATTGTGTTGCTCTTATAGTAAAAGCTAACCATTAAAAATAAAGTGCATTCTCTCCATCTTTTTTGGTCTATTTTTGATGCTGATGTGAAGATAAAAGGAATAATTCCACTGGTTTTGTTTGCTATGTCTCTATAGTAGTAATTTTTTAACCTACCAAGTGTTTTAGAAACAGGACTTTTTAAATGATTTTCCTTTGAATGCCTTTCTTTAAATAGTGAGTTGCCTTTGAAGCACATTACTGTATCTTCACTGGATTGAAATGTGACCCATTTACAATTTGTATGCAGTTGTGTGTATAAAGTGTGTGCAATAAGTAGCAGAGTGGGTAACATTCCAATAGTTACACTGATTACATGCCATTCAGTTGTTTAAAACTCCTCTACTTAGTGTAGAGTTTTAAAGGATTAGGAAGTCAGGAGATTGGCAGATATAACAGCACCTGCCTCCACAGAAGGAGGGAATTCTCAGCAGATGACAGTGAGACTTGCCTACAACATTGGCTCCTCTCTGGGTCTCCAGCCTGCCAGCCCACACTGCATATTCAGGTTTCCAGCTCCTGTGAGCCAGTTCCTTGAAAAAAACATCACTGCCCCTCTTCCAGATATACACATCCACTGATTCTGTTTCTCTGAAGAACCCTGACAGAGACACCTGGTTTCTTACCCAATGTAGGTGTCTTATACTTGCTTACAAAGCAACTCTTATTCATTTTCTCTCTTCTTTTAGCACATTGCCAAATATCATTTACATTTAATCAATGACACATTCAAGATAGGAGGACAAATCTGTCTTTATATCATATTATTCACTCTTTTTGTAAGATTGTTGCTTCTGTGGGCCTTATGGTTCAAGGTCAGTAAGGGAGAACACTTCATATGGAATCTCTATTATATTTTCACAATAGCCTAACTTTCCCCTTCTTAGAAGCTGTCAACAGTGTGTGGAAAAATGATTCTTGAGCTTCACAGTATATGGATTCAGGGTCAAAACTTCAGATTCTAAAGATCTGAAGGTATTAAATCACAAGTGAGAGGAACTACATATCTGAATAATGCCAGAATTTAAAGAAAGTTTGAACAACGTGGATAGCTACCTCATCCCCACTAAATAATTCACCCATCTACTTATGCTTGTGTACTTCCAGGGGTGGGAGGCCACTAGTTATTAATGATGCTAGTCCTAGCTTTGGACAGCTCTTCGTCTTCTAATATGAACCTACAATGCCATGTTGACTTACGGGTAAGTATTATCCTCTTGTATGAGACATTACTTCACATACTTGGTGCCCCCCCCAATCTCATGGCTCCAAGTCATCTCCAGATTAAAACCTCCTACTGTACAAGAGTTGCTGCTTTTGAGAAACTTGATTCCTAATTTTTTCCCTAGTGCTAAAATTGAACCTGGGCCTGCAAACACGCTAAACAAGTGATCTATGACTGAATTATATCCCTCGATCCTTGATCTATATTTTTTAGGTTGTAAACAATGTAGTCTTTCTAGATATGGGCTGTCTGTGGCAGGATAAAGTGGAGGCATTATGTCTTTTATTTAAAATATTACAGTTTTGTTTGTTGTTTTGGTGGTTCTGTTCATTTATGCCTCCTGAATCTGTCCTGTAAATCATAATTGAGATGTGCCTATTCTAAGACAAGGTGGGATACCACCTAGTTAAGTGTGATAGGTCAAGAATCTCTCAGAAAAACTTTTTTGTACAACAAGTTAACAAGAAATTGGCTCACAGTTACAAAAATAAGGTTGTAACATCTGTCTTTCCAGAAAAATTATAATATGTAATTCACATCATTTTTATATTTTGCATTAGTTTTGGAAATAAGAGCTTATACAATATTTGTATATTAAATCTACTTTCCAATTCCCTTTGTACCATTCCTGATCATCACTGATTTATCTTCCTGCCGTGCTTACTTTTTCAAAAGAGTCTATTTTGAAACCAACTATCAAGAATTCCATTGATAATGTCAAATAAATGCTATTTTGCTGAAGTGGGACTAATGATACTTAACCGATGTGACCCAAATGTTCTGTGGATATAAATTAATTGTATGTGATCATTCTTTCAGTTTGGAAAGAAGTTATATCTTTACTGTGCATATAGGGCCTCAGAGACGTTACTTCAAAATTACCTTGAAATTAGCAAAACAGAGACCACCTACAAAGCTCCTGACCCCTCTTTCCAGGGCAGGCTTGAATAGTTCTCTGAGGGCTGGAGGTGTAAGTCGATGATAGAGCATATTTCCAGCAGGTGCGAAGCCCTTGGTTTGATTCCCAGTACTGGGAAAACACACACACAAACAGAAACTCTGAGGGTATATCATTTTTCATAACAAAGCAAATTTGATGATTTAAAAATGAAAGCTGTTCTCTCACAGAAGGCCAGAAAGCCAGATGCAAGGCCTTGGTAGGGTTTGTTCCTCGTAGAAGTATCAAGGAAGAATCTATTCTGCATCTTTGTCCTAACTCTCAGTAGTGACTGTAATTCTTGGTATCCTTTGGCTTACACCTGCAATCCCTCCAGGCTCTGCCTCTGTCTTTGCCTGGCTTTCTTCTGTGTCTGTCTGTCTGTCAAATCTTTTATTTCAAGATCCTTAATTTCTCCAAAGATCCTTATTTTAAATAAGGTCACATTCTGATGTTCCAGGTATATATACATATTTTGGGAGGGAAGGAAGCTACTAATCAGTGCACCAACCTAGGTCATTTTAGTTACCAAATTCAATTCTCAGTTTTTATGGGCTGGGGAGACAGCCCAGTGGCACAAGTGCCTGCCTGGCAAGTACAAGGTCCTGAGTTCAATTCCTGATACCCCCCCCCCAAAAAAAATCCCTCAAAAACCACTACCAACAACAAAAAAGTCCAAGTTTTTGTGGTGGCCTCCTCCTGCCACAGAAGCTACTTTCCAAGGGCCAGCCAGTTTTGCTTCTTTCTGGAAGTAGCAACTTATCTGCACGCGAGGGTTGGAACTAAAATATAAAAAGTGGGAGGACCCCAATCTGTAGAGCTGTGAGCCTCCATCTTAGCAATGTTTTCTGAAAAGACAGAATCAGAATTTTTTTTTTTTAAAAACTATAGGCTAGCCAAGTGCTGTGGCATGTCTGTAATCCCAGCTACTCAGGAGGTGCCATTGAAGGGTTGCAAGTTCAAGGCCAGCCTTGGCAATTTAACCAGACCCTATCTCTAAAAAAATGAAAAGAACTGAGTATTTAGCTCAGTGACAGAGTGCCCCCACAAACTCCAGCAGTGCAAAAACAAGAATTCAGACATAGAAGCTTAAATATCACATGGTTTCTTTTATATGAAAAATTCAGTATATATACAAAATATGAAATACTAGGAAAAAAGAGAAAGGAACAAAAGCATTGCAATCCACTACAGACAATGTATCTAAAAGTGTGTCTTGACTTAGTACATTCTCTTACATATTTTGTATGTTCTTTGGCCTATTAGTCTGTTTTTTAAAATGAATCTGATGCTGGAAAAATAAAAGGAGGGGCAGAGACAGGGGAAAAAAAGAAGGGAATTGAAATGTGTTATGTACACATACCAATTCCCTACAGTGAATTTAATCACTATGCGCTACAAACATGGACTAATAAAAGTCAGGAAAAGCAAAAACAAAAACAAAAACAAAAACAAAACCTACAAGCTGGACCGAAGACACATAGCCTGGTGATCTTCAAGTCGATTACCCTCATCCTGATGTATGGGCATCCCAGCACAGACGGCTTTGGGAATTCTGGGCAAGTGAGAGTCTTCATGTTGCTTCTTACACTGTGGTTTGTCGTCTCCACTAATGATGTGGTTGTGAAGTAGGCAATTGCACTTCAGTGATTCTGCTTACATCTTTTCGTTAGGCCTAGAAAATGGGCTGGGCATTTCTGAGACAACTTCTGTGCAAGCCACCACAGACTGTGGCTTTGTTCAGTCCGCTCACACAAAGCCATTGGAATCATTCTGCTGCAGTATCAGCCCTGGCCAGCGGGTGAGGTACGCCGGGATATTTCCCAGACTGTCTCATGTGTTCATTTTGAAGCATGAGAGACAAACTGCCTGAATGTACAGAAGTCACACAGTAATTTTTGAAAGGATCAAAGTTTCTAGATTGTATTTCTAAATAGTAGATTTCTGTGGCTCTAAGAAGTGAGCAAAAAATTCAGCTTGCCTTTATTTAGCTATAAAGTGAAAGGGTAATATTCAGGCCCATTAATATGCTCATTTGTATTTATTGTGAATAAATACTAATGTATTTAATTAGTGGTTTATTTTTATTATTGACTATTGCTACCAGATATTAAATTAATTCTTACTTAGTAAATAAACACTTCATTTCTGGAAGCTAAAACCTTTTTGACTGTCCCCACTTGTCTCACTTTTCCTGACTAAGCATTGATCCGACCCCACCTGCACTGCAGAGACTGTTTCACAACCTGTAATTCTAGAATGGCTTCTGTGGTTGAAGAAAGAACAGATCTGAGACCCATGGGAAGTTCAGTTTAGTAAATTTTGAGGTGAACCTCCTCAACCTTGTTATCTTTTCTTAAAAGAAAAATAAAAGTATAATTGGAAAAGTAATGCATTTCAGTATAAATGATCAATCTACATATAAACAACTGTAACAAAACCAGTAAGTATGGACCTAGAGAGTCCTTTCCTATCCAGAGATAGAGTTAGTAGGCCTGAGGCTATACAACTTAGTAGTAGAGCATAGAGCTTTTGTAACTCTAGCTCTAGCATGTGCAAGGCTCCAGATTTGATCCCCAGTATCAAAAAATACACAAATAAATAAATGTAAAAGTGTGGTATGTAAACTTGTAGTTCTCTGTCATGTATATTAAATTAGACATATATATACATTTTAAATATTCTATTTTAAGTAAATAAGATATTATTTTTAATATTTTTGAAATTATTTTTTAATCTATTAGTGTCATGCATTATTTAGTAATCTGTTTCTCCTTACATAACAATGGACTTTAGAGGACTTTCATGTTATCATAAATCACTACATTTAGCATTTTAGTGGCTGCTTACCATTCTG